AAACTTTGGGTTCCAAATTTTCTTCCTTCCTCCCTCCCCACCCACTCTCATTGATAAGGCAAGCAACTCAATATAGGTTATACATGTGTAGTTATGCAAAACACTTCCATAGTAGTCATGTTGTGAAAAACTAACTCTATTTCCCTTAATCCTATCCCACCCTCCCATTTATTCTATTCTTTCTTTTGACCCTGTCTCTCCTTAGAAGTATTTGCTTCTGATTACTCCCTTTCCAAATTGGCCCTCCTCTCTATCATTCTCCTACTCTCTTGTCCCCTCCCCCCCTATTTTCCTGCAGGGTAAGACAGATTTCCACACCCAATTGAGTGTGTATGTTATTCCCTCCTTAAGTCAAATCCTATGAAAATAAGATTTACTCATTCCCTCTGACCTTCCCCGTTTCCCCTCCACTGTAAGAGCCTTTTCTTTTCTGTTTTTTTTTTTTTTTGGTGGGATAATTTACCCCATTCTACGCTCCCTTTCTCCTTCTCCTAGTATTTCCTCTCTCACCCCTTAATTTTATTCTCCAGATATGACCCCTTCATTTTCAACTCACCCTGTGCCCTGTATCTGTCTATATCTCTCTCTATATATGTACATGCAATTTTTTCCCCTCCAACTACCCTAATATTGACAAAGGTCTCATGAGTTACAAATATCATCTTTCCATGCAGGAATGTAAACAGTTCAACCTTAATAAGTCTCTTACGATTTTCTCTTTCCTGTTGACCTCTTCATGTTCCACTCGAGTCTTGTATTTGAAAATCAAATTTTCTATTCAACTCTGGTCTTTACACCAAGAAGGCTTGAAAGTCCTCTATTTCACTGAATGACCATTTTTTCCCCTGAAGGATTATACTCAGTTTTGCTGGGTAGGTGATTCTTGGTTGTAATCTTATCTCCTTTGCTCTCTGGAATATTATATTCCATACCCTGCAGTCCCTTAATGTAGATGCAGCTAAATGTTGTGTTATCCTGATTGTGTTTCCACAATACTTGAATTGTTTCTTTCTGGCTGCTTGTAATATTTTCTCCTTGACCTGGGAACTCTGGAATTTGGCTACAGTATTCCTGGGAGTTTTCCTTTGGGGATATCTTTCTAGAGGAGATTGGTGGATTCTTTCAATTTCTATTTTGCCCTCTGGTTCTAAAATATCAGGACAGTTTTCCTGGATAATTTCTTGAAAGATGATGTGTAGGCCCTTTTTTTGATCATGGCTTTCAGATAGTCCAATAATTTTTAAATTCTCTCTCCTGGATCTGCTTTCCAGGTCAGTTGTTTTTCCAATGAGATATTTCACATTGTTTTCTAATTTTTCATTCTTTTGGATTTGTTTTACAGTGTCTTGATTTCTCATAAAGTCCCTAGCTTCCAATTACTCCACTCTAATTTTTAAGGAAGTATTTTCTTCAGTAATCTTTTGGACTTCCTTTTCCATTTGGCCAATTTTGCTTTTTAGGGCATTCTTCTCCTCATTGGCTTTTTGGACCTCTTTTGCCATTTGGGTTAGGCTATTTTTTAAGGTGTTATTTTCTTCAGTATTTTTTGGGTCTCCTTTAGCAAGCTGTTGACTTGTTTTTCATGATTTTCTTGCATCACTCTCAGTTTTTCCTCTACTTCTCTTACTTGCTTCTCAAAATCCTTTTTGAGCTCTTCCAAGGCCTGGGACTGATTCATATTTTTTTTGGAGGCTTTGGATGTAGGAGCTTTGGCTTTGTTGTCTTCTTCTGGTTGTATATTTTGATCTTCTTTGTCACCAAAGTAAGATAATACAGTCTGACTCTTTTTGCGCTGCTTACACATGATCCTGTCCAATTACTTGAGTTATAAACTCTTTGTTAAGGTAAGAGTCTGCTTCCAATGTGGAGAATGTACTGTCCCAAGCTTCGGGGGTTTGTACAGCTGTTTTCAGAGGTACTTCTAGGGACCTGTAAATTTTCAGTTCTTCCAAGGTGCTATGATAAGGGGCGAGGTGTTTCCCCTCCACCACCGCAACAAACTCCACCATGCTAGCACTCTTCCTCGTCCCAGGACCGCCCCTCAGAACTGTGACCCAGATCCAAGCACGGGCAGAGCAAGAGATTCCTGCCTCAGTACTAGCAAAGAGATCCCTGCAATCCCTCTCTGATCAGCCACTCGATTCCCCCTCGGTCTGTGGGCTGGAAGCTCAAGCTCAGGAAACAGCCGCGGCCCTGGGCCGCGCTTGAGACTTGGGGCTGAGACTTAGCTCCTCTCTCACCGCAGTCACAGACTTTTCCCACTGACCTTCTAAGTTGTCTTTGGCGTTCAGCGGTTGAGAAGTCTGGAAACTACCACAGCTGCCTGTGATTCAGTCCTCTGAGGCCTGTTCTAGGGTAGCTGCAGCCTGCATGCACACACCACGCTGTGCTCCTCTCCCCGCCTGGCGCAATATACCTTTCTAATCAGCCATCCAGGCTGCCTTTGGTTGGAAATTTGTTTCACTCTGTCTTTTTGTGGGTTCTGCTGCTTTAGAATTTGTTCAGAGCCATTTTTTATACGTATTTGGAGGGGTTTGGGGGGAGAGCTCAAGACAGTCGCTGCTTTCCCTCCGCCATCTTGGCTCTGCCCCCAAATGCCTTCTTGCTCCCATTTTGCTCTGTCCTCCATCTTTTCCTCTCCCCTCCAACCCTATTCATGTCGGTTTTCAGTCACGTCCAACTCTTCGTGACTCCATTTGGGGTTTTCTTGTCAGAGGTACTGGAGTGCTTTGCCATTTCCTTCTCCAGCTCATTTTACAGACAAGGAAACTGAGGCAAACAGGGTTCAGTGACTTGCTCAGGGTCACACAGCTAGTAAGTGTCTGAGGCCAGATTTGAACTCATAAAGATGAGTCTTCCTGACTCCACGCCCAGCACTCTATCCACTGCACCAGCTAGCTGCCCATCTCTATTCACAGGCAGAATCTCCGGCACATGCTTGTTGATTTGACAGACTGATTTGCCCCAGTTCTATACCCCACTGCATTTTCCTCCCTTTCTGCATGCTTGGACTACCCTCTTCATCCTAACAGTTTTTCCATCTCCTTGCATCTACTGAAGCATCATGTAAATGAAAGCAGGATTTACAAGGATGAAGTAGAGGGAGCTGGGTGGGAGGGAGAGGGGCGTCAAGTCAAGTGGGTACCTCAGAGAAGGCTTGAAGGAGGGAAGGAATAAGGTTTGAGAGAGGGGCAGGGGCTATTGCCTGTTCCATAGAGAGCTCCTCCGGCCTGGGACCACAGGACTCTGCGGGCAGCCTAGGCTAAGCCCACCTCTCTCCCAGAGGGAGCAAGGCTCTTAGCTGTCCCCTGCGTCCCCAAGGCTCCCTGCTTTCAGAAGTCAGTGCTCTCCCGCCCTGTTCACATGCTTGTTCCCCAAAGGGATGTCAGGCTCTCAGCGGTGACTGGCAGCCTCCCTCACTGACTCTCTCTGCTCCCTCACCTCCCCCCTCACCATCATCTGCTTAGCCCCGGGGAATTTCCCAGTAGTTTGTCCGTTAAGAGAATTTGAAGCCTCCCTGGGCGGCTACACCAGATCACTGGGAGACCGCCCCAGCCAGAGGAAATTCCATTTGGAGTGGCAAACAAGAAAGGTTTTGGAGAAGGGCCAAATCTTTCTCAGGAGAGCGGATTGGACCGAGTGACCTCTGAAGTGCCTTTTGACTCTGCATTTATGACCCTAAGATTCTATGGCCTCAGGTCAAATCCTCCCTCTCCCACTTATTAGCTTGTGACCATTGGCAAATAACTTGACCTCTCTGGGCCTCAGTTTCCTCATCTGTAAAATGATGAGTGTTGGACTGGACCACCCATTCCAGTTCTAGAGCTCTGATCCTCCCAGTTCCAGATCTGTGATCCTATCATCTAGAAGCTAGACAAGGTAGCTGCCTACCTGGGGTGAGTCGGGGTAGTGCCAACCTTCTTCCTATTCTGAAAATTCTTCTCCACTGGTGCCTGGAAGGCAGGCCACCATTCTCCATTGATTCTAGTCTTAGGGTCCAAGTGCCCAGTTATTGGCATTCATTTAAATGACAAGCTTGGGGTGTTTACTGTGCAAAGAAGTTGACTGGGCTGGGGAGGGAGTACGGGGAGTCCTCCAACCACCTCTTTACACTTGGTTATCAGGTTGTTTAGGAAGGGGATTGGTCCCTGAGCCAGGAAGATCTGGGTTCAAGTCCTGCCTCTGATACATACTGCCTGCAGGACTGGTCAAGTCACTTCAAGTCTCAGTTTCCCTAAGACTGTAAATTACAGAGAAGGTTCCAATCTGCATAAGCAGAAGGAAGTCCTCATCCCTCATCCCTCATCCCTCTCCCCTCTCTTAGCCAAACCTCCTTTCATCCCAGAACGTCCCAGAATATTCTAGAATGTCCCGGAATGTTTCAGAACCATGGTTTCCAACATGGTGGGGGAAGATATGAGGATCCTTTTACCATTTAAAAATTGACTTTGTTGTTGCCTTTCCTCAATTCATTTCCCAACCACTCCCAGACCAAATTGTACTTGTGACAACAAAAAGCAATTAAGCAAAAACACTGGATACAGAAACTTCATCTGATAACATATATACTACTCTGTCCCAGTCATCCCCCACCTCCCTATAAACATCATTTTTTAAATAAAAAATTGTGCAAACCTTTCTTCCCTCTACATGTACTACTGGCAACCACTGATTGATGACCTAAAACCCCTATGAATTCAGCGATGCTTTTCAACAAATTTGTATTTTGCTAATCCCTGTATCATTGGCATGCATTAGGAAAACAGCATGGTTTACATGACCAGATGTATTACTCATCCAGACTCCAGAAGGCAGGCTTGCCAAAACCCAAAATGGTGGCACTTGGCGCGCATATGGATTTTGAGACTATTTGAAAGAATGCCACGCCCTTGCCCCCATGTGATAGAATGTCCCCCCTGTGGCCAGCTATGATTTCATGACATGAACACAGTCTGCTGCATAGGATGACATACACATATAACATGTAACCCAACATGGCATGAGAGAACACACTTCCCTAGAGCTTTTATTACATCCCAACATAAGAAATAAGGCTGATCTTGTAACCAGTCACCCATGAGGGCAGGGTCTTCAAAATGGTCACATCAGGAAGCTGTACATTTATTTCATGGATGCTAGATTCTGCAGAATTCTGCTCTAGGGAAGGCCTTCAGAATCTCCCCTCTGGTGATGGCCTTCAGAGCGAGTCTCCTCAGTGGTTACAAATCTCCATCCTGAGAGGATAGAAAAGATTTTGGAAAGAGCCTCCGGTCACTGAGAGGCTCTGCGGGACCACAGCAGCACACCTGATTAAAAAGAGAGGAGACCATGAAGTTACTGCCAGGATTCCTTTCTCATCTGGCTTCTAAGCTAACTGAAGGCCCTTCTCCCCTAGAGATGGAGCTGAGCAGGAAGGAAGGGAGGGGGAGGGTTTATGTAAGAAGAGGAAATCCCCCTGGGGTTAGCTAATGGAGTAAGCCCAGGGCCAGGGACCAGCTGGGCCACCTTGCTTCCCACTGCCCCCAGTGTCTCTACCACAAGTCCAGCCACTCCCCTGAGGGCTGAGAACATCTGGCTTTGGGTCCCAGAAGGGGCCCAGCCCGGGCCAAGGGCCAGATGGGGTAAGAAGGCCTCAACAGCTGAACCAGACACAGAGTCAAGGCAGAGTCCCAGCACCTCTGGGCCTTGGGATGGCTGGAACCTGGGCATCCAGGACGGATTCCTCTGCCTACTCCCCACAGTCCCCACCTCCTGCCCTCCTGCTCCCATGTCATTGTGTAGATTAGAATTCAGAGCCCAGCTGACTTCAGAAAAACCTGGAAAGACTTGTATGGTCTGATGCTGAGTGAAGTGAGCAGAACCAGGAGAACATTGTACACAGTAACAGCCAATTTGTGTGATGACTAATATTGATAGACTTAGCCCTTCTCAGCAATACAAGGATCTAAGATATCTCCAAGAGTCTCATGATGGAAAATGCTATCCACATCCAGAGAAAGATCTGCAGAGTCTGAATGCAGATCGAAGCAGACTATTTGCTGTTTTTCTCTTCTGTTGTGTTTTCTTCCCTCTTTCTGGTGGTTCCTCCTACTGGTTCTAATTCTTACCTACAACATCACTAACCTGAAAATACGTTTAATAGGAATATATAATATGTAGAGCCTATATCAGATTACTTGTCATCTTGGGGAGGGAGGTGGGGAAGGAGTGGGAGAAAAACTTAAAACTCAAAAGCTTATGGAAGTGATTGTTGATAATTCAAAATAAATTAATTAAAAAAAGAAAAAGAACTCAGAGCCCAGGAGCTCCCCACTCAGGGAGCCCAGATCTTTGGAGGCTGTGGCATGGGGTGGGACTCTTATTGGGTTTGGCTTCCCATCCCTCTAAATTCCCACTTCTCTGGACTGGAGACAGGGCCATTCAAATGGCCACCCACTGTACCTTACAGTTTATTTACAAAGGATGCCTTGGTATGGTGAGAAAAATAGACCTGGGTTCGAATCTCACTTCTCTGTGATCTTGGGCAAGTCACCTCTCTGGTACTCAGTTTCCTCACCTACAAAATGAGGGAGGTTGGACTGGCGGCACCCCACGCACCTTCCAGTCTGGGCCTAGGGTCTGTGGCTTCTAATCCCTTCTCTCGTGTCATCGTCCCAACAGCCCTGGAAGGGGGTGGTAGAGGGGTGGGGCGGGGAGCAAGTGCCCTTCGACACACGAAGAAATAGAGAAGCTGAAGAGGCCAGTCAGAGCCTGGGTCTTCTGCCTTCTGGTCCAGGTTGGCATCATCCGCCCCACGCACACACATGTACCACACAGACACAGAGGCATCTGTCCGTAACAAACAGAAATCCTCTCTTCTCTCTCTGTCTCTGTCTCTCTCTTCCTCTCCCTCTCTCTTTCCCTCTCTCTCTGTCTCTTTTTTCTCTCTCCATTTCTCCCTCCCTCCCTCTCTCTGTCTCTTTTCTCTCCATCTCTCCCTCCCCTCCTCTCTCTCTCTCTCTCTCTCTCTCTCTCCCTCGCTCCTATCTCTCTCTTTTTCTTTCTCTCCATCTCTCCCTCCCCTTCTCTTTCTCTCTGTCTCTGTCTCTCTCTCTCTTTTGCTCACTATCTCTCTGTCTCTTTTTCTTTCTCTCCATGTCTCCCTCCTCCTCTCTTTTTCTCTCTCTGTCTCTTTCTCTCTCTCTCTATTTCTCCTTCCCTCCCTCTCTCTCTTTCTCCAGGTCTCCCTCCCCCCTTTTTCTTTCACTCTCTCTTTCTCTTTCTCCATTCCTCCCTCCCTCTCTTTTTCTTTGTCTCTCTTTCTTTCTTTTTTCCCATCTTTCCTTCCTCTTCTCTCTTTCTCTCGCTTTCTTGTCTTTATCTTTCTCTATTTCTCCTTCTCCCTCTCTTCCTCTATTTCTCTCTGTTTTTTTCTTTATCCCTCTCCCCCCAACTCGGTCTCTCTCTTTCTCTCCTTTCTTTCACTTTCTCTTTCTCTCTACATTTCTCCCTCCCTCTCTTTCTCTCTGTCTCTCTTTCTCACTCTTTCCCCATCTTTCCTGCCCCTTCTCTCTCTCACTTTCTTTGTCTCTATCGTTCTCTCTCCATTTCTCTTTCTCTCTCTATTCCTCTGTTTCTTTCTCTCTCCATCTCTCTCTCCCCCTCTGGCTCACTCTCTCATGCATACACACATGCATGTGCATACACATGTACACATACAGAGTTGTTAGAATGGTGAGAAATTGAAACAATAGAGATAGAAGAAATGATGAGAAACTGAAAGAAGAACCTAAGGTCATCCAGGCACCTGCCCCTCCCTGAGGGCCCGGCCCCTTCCTCCCCCCTCAGCACAAACAAATTCTCCTGCCAGTGGCTTCCTCTTTTCCCAGCACATAAAAGGCTGGGGGGTGCCCCGAACTTTTCCAGCCATAGCTCCGTCACCAGCCCTCAGCCTCAGTGAGTCCTGACCAGCTTGAGGAGGGGATTGCAGTCATGGGGGACCCTTTCATCAGGCACATCGTCCTCCTAGGCTTTGAGAAGCGTTTTTCCCCCAGTCAGCACTATGTGAGTACAATCCAGGGCTGGCCTTGACCCGTGGGCAGATCAGTCCAGCAATTGCCCCATGGGGCAATTGGAGTGGGGAGCCTTCAGCCTTCTGTCCCATCACAATGCCAAAATTTCACCACTGAAGCCTGAGGGTAGAGGTCACTGGTGTCTTTTCTGGGGTCACAGGATGCTCTAAAGCTGGGAGGGATCCTCAGCACCATTTCCCGGAGAGTTTAGGTGACTTTCTTACCATCCCACGGGGTGGGGGGGGGGGATTTCATTATCAGAGATTAGATTTGAACCCAGCTCCCCCGACTCCAGAGTCGTCAGTTGCCACTGTCCAACTTTGTCTCCTTAGACTTCTCACTTCCTCCCAGGGCTTAGCACTTAGTACATACTTAATAAATATTTCTTGACTTGAATTTAATTTAATTGAATTGGACACTGTTTTGTTTCTTATAAACACCCCTGAGAGGGGTTTAGTTTAAATCATTACCTGTCATCCACATCCATCACCAGCTGTGTGACCTGAGATAAGTCACTTAACGTCTGTGAGCCTCAGTTTCCTTTTCTGACTCCAGTTTAGCCTAGATCGTCTCTAAGGTTCTTCCAGCCTTGAATCCCATGAACCAGCGGCAGCTCCCTGGCTCTTGGTAGGGTTATATGTCTGGAGGAGAGAGAAGGGGGCCAGAGAAAGGGGGCCGCTAAGAGGGGAAGCAGGAGCTACAAAAAAAGAAACCCGGATGTCCCAACTCTGCCTCCCTGTACCCTGTCGCTACTTCTGCCTTGGGTGGTTTTTTCCTTCCTGTCCGTCTCGTTTCCCCCGCTGAGCTCCTAGAGAGCATAAATTGCTCTTTCCCCCCATCTCCGTGCCCACCGGAGCAACCTCTAGCCAGAGGCCTGATGAAAATGATCTACTTGCCTCCTTTCCCCTTCCCCCAACCCCACTGCACCCTTCCACTTTTGCCCAGATCCTCCTATTTATTATCGAAGCCACCCTTAAGAAAGGAGCTAGAAAGCTACGGGGAAGGGCTAGATGGATGGCATTCTCCACTCCCACCACCCTTCTGCAGTAACCTTGCCTGCTGACTCTTTACTCCATTGGCAGTTGGCTAGCCCTAACTATGGACACTAAGCTTAGGCGTGCCCTTCTCCTTTCTCCAGGTCTACATGTTCCTGGTGAAATGGCAGGACCTCTCAGAGAAGGTGGTGTACCGCCGTTTCACAGAGATCTACGAGTTCCATGTGAGTGTGGGCCCAGAGGGGTCCGTGGGGCAGGGGAAAGAGGGAGAAGTGGGAGGAAAGACCCTAAAGGGCTCCATCCCTATCTGACCACTGACTGGAAGAAAAAAAACCCGAGATATATCCATTATAGAGCCAACTCTTAACTAGCCAAGGGAAGTTTTCACCTCTCAATATGAATGAATGACTGGAAGAATGAATGAATGTTAAAGGTTTGTTAAATGCTTAAAATCCGCAAAGCACTGTGCTCATTTGGTATAGATAATCCAAAGTAGCAGATAATTCTCAAACACAGGGTAATAGCAATCTTCAAACAAGCCCCTAATCATCCTTTTGAGGCTCAGAAAAGCCTTCTCTCACTTGAGGGACAGCAGAGTGACCTTCCTGAGTGGTACAATAGGACAGCGTACTGGACCTGGACTCAGGGAGACCTGAATTCAAATCCAATCTCAGGCTTTTCCTGGGCAAGTCATTTAACCTCTGTTTTCTCATAGCTGAAGTGGAGTTAGTAACCACACCGGCCTCCCAGGAATGTTGTGAGGGTAAAATGAGATCATATTTGTAAAGGGCCTAGCAAACCTCAAAGTGCTATGCAAATGTTAGCTATTATTAGTATCTTTGACTTGAGACCGTAGTAAAGTGAGTTTGCTGTTTGCAGATTGAGAGTGAGGGGAAAGTCGTCTAAGAAGCATTCTGGGGTATGAAAGAAACAGGTCCAGGGTTAAATGGTTGTCTCGGACCAGACACTAAGTGTGTGGTACCACCCCTCCCCCCTTCAGATAACTGTAGAAGGTCTACATTCCTATCATTACTTAACAGGTTGGTCAGCTGGGCACGGGCTGCCACCCTGGTTCCATTAAATTGATGGCTGCTGTCCTCATTAGGGTCTGTCAACACACCAATGTCTATTTCATCAGGGTGTTGTTACTCTTCTGCTTTTTGGGTCAAGGCTTTAAAAAGGCTGTAACTTCCCTTTGAAGTGCTAATAAGACCTAAAAAGGATGATTCAATATATATGTTGTATCCAACTCTCCATGACCCCATTTGGGGTTTTCTTGGCAAAGATACTGGAGTGGCTTGCCTTTTCCTTCTCCAGCCCATTTGACAGATGAAGAAGTGAGGCCAACAGGGTTAAATGACTTGCCCACACAACTAGTAAGTGTCTGAGGCTGAATTTGAACTCAGGTCCTCCTGACTCCAGGTCACTAAGCCACTTAGCTGCCCCATCTACATAGCCATCACTTTCCCACCTGTGCATTTCCTTAGGCTCTTTCTTGTGCCCAGAATGGCTTCCCCTTCCTCTCTATCCACTGAAATGCAACTGATCGGGGGGCAGCTAGGTGGCGCCCTGAAGTCAGGAGGACCTGAGTTCAAATCCGGCCTCAGCCGTATAACACCCACTAGCTGTGTGACCCTGGGCTAGTCACGTAACCCCAATTGCCTCACCAAAAAAAAAAAAAAAAAAAAAAAAGAAATGCAATTGATCCAAATACTAACTCCTTTCCCCCGAAGCAAAAGCGATTTCTTCCTCCTGAATACTCTCAGAGTATCTTGTTTATCTCTATTTTGCACTTGTATCTTCTTTTCTATTAAAGCTATTTGTTCAAGCATGTTATCTCTCCTACTACTTTATAAACTCTTTGAGACAGAGACTGTATGAATCTTACAAATCTTTACAGAACCTAGCACAATATTCTGTACACAGTAGGTGCTTAATACAGGTTTTTGGAATGGAATGAATATGATCAACCAGCATTCATTAAGCACGAACTAGGTTGCAGGTACCCTGCTGGGCCTGGAGATAACAATGCTAGAAATGAAACAATCCCTGCCCTCCAGGCGCTTACATCTAATTAACCCATCAACAACCATTAATTAAGTTCCCATCAGTCAAGTGACAAGTATTTACCAAGCCTTCACTAAGCACCAGGCACTTACCAATAGCATTGTAGCTGTGGGAGCAGAGAGCTGTCGGAAGCAGGGAAGAAATGACTTGGCTTTTCCTATTTTCTCTCCTTTTAGAAGCTGTTAAAAGAAATGTTTCCCATTGAATCTGGACAAATCAGCTCAGAGAACAGAATCATCCCCCATCTCCCAGGTAGGCTCAGCTGAGGGACGGAGAAAGGAAAGAAGTAAAATCTTGTTTTACTTACTGAGCTTGGGTAGCTTTTGGTCGGAGGGAGAGGTCTCTATATCCTGAACATCCTTTCCTTAGCTCTTAGTTTCTTCTTCTGTAAAATGGGTGAATACTACCTGCTCTGTCTATGTGGCAGAGTCGTAGTGAGGATGAAATGGGAGCCTCTATGTGGAGGTGCTTGTAGAAATGTGTAGGGGCTGGCTAGCAGCACGGGCAGCCTGGGGTTGAGGATGGGCCGCTGAATCTGCAGGCAGAAGGACCTAGCCTCCCATTCTGCATCTGGCTCTTACTCGTTGGGTGGCTCCGGCAAATCACTTGCGCTCTCTGTGTTTCATGTCCCTCTTTGGCAAAATGGGTGTGAAGGCATCGGACTGGACCTCCAGATTACTTCCCCATTTTAAGTCCACAATCCTATTATTATTAGGGGTGTGGGATACACATGCGGTCATCTGAAAATGGAGAGACAGTTGCGAGCTGTGTCCATGCTCTGGGGCAGGGAGGTGCAGTAGGTAGGGAGACAGAGATGCTTAGGGATGGCGCTGATTTTTGGTCTCCTGCTCCCTTTGGGGGGTCTTTGTCCCCAGCGGGTCCTTTCCCAGGGGCCTGAGCGTAGCTCTTGGACGTTTGACAAGGGTTCCTTGGGTTAAGCTAGCTGCCTTGGGAAAACCCAAGGCTTGGAGAGAGCAGAGTCCCCAGCTGTCCTTGGCTGCCTAAGGTTTCAATTCCCGCCAGAGCTCAGGGCCCCCCCGAATTCAGGGGCAGGAGAGCATTAAACCAATGTAGAACCACTGGGCTTAGCATTCAGCAGCAACGGCGATTGGAAACAGGAAGCTGCCGGGCGGCTTGCGGCCTCGTCCTCCAGGCCGTGGGCCATGTGAGGTCCTCCTTGGTTCAGCCTCCCGTGGCCGCCCCCGTGGCGGCCCCCGAGGTCGCGTGTTACCGCTCTGTCTCTCTCTGCCCGGGTTTCACCTGCTGTTTGTGGGGCTTGAGCTCTGCTGGCTGACAGTGGAGGGTAAGGGACAAAAAGAGGAAGAGAAAAGAACAGCAAAAGCCACTCAAAACCCACGGGGAGCTGGATGTTCGTGGGACAGGAAGCCAGACAAGCACTTTCAGCTTGCTAGTCTGGGACTGAGGCGGGGAGGACCTTGGCCAAGTTCACAGCAAAGTCAAGGCGAGGGCCCACTCCGCCAGAACACCAGCATCACAGGCTCAGAGCAGTTAGAAAGCGCACCGGATCCCAGGAAGACCTGAGTTCAAATCCAGCCTCAGATACTTAAGGGACCCTGGGCAAGTCACTTCATCTCTGTTTGTCTGTTTCCTCAACTGTAAAATGGAGATAATGACAGTACCTACCTCCCTGGGTTGTTGTGAGGATAGCATGAGATAACATCTGTAAATTGCTTAGCACAGTGCTTGGCACACAGTAGGCGCTATATAAATGCTCATTGCCTTCCCTTCATAGGTCCAGGGCTGGAAGGCAATCCAGAATCCATCTAGTTTAACTCCCTCACTTTATAAATAAGCAAACAGACATCTAGAGAAGTTACAATACTCACTCAAGGTCACAGCCAGTGATTGGCTGAGGTTGGATTTGAACCCAGAACCTTTGCCCCCAGGCTCTTTTCGTGTCCAAATTTTCTTCCATCGCTCACCTCTCTGTTTGCTGTCTTTGGCCACTTGTCTACCTAGCCCCGCGATGGTTCGATGGGCAGCGGACCACAGAGAACCGCCAGGGCACACTGACTGAATACTGTAACACTTTGATGAACCTGCCCACCAAGATCTCCCGCTGCTCCCACGTTCTGGAGTTCTTCAGAGTAAGACCCGATGACCTGAAGCTCCCCTCGGACAACCAGTGAGTGACCGCTGCCCACCTTTCCTTCTCCGCCCCACTCCCTGCTGGGGGAGGGAGGAAAGACTGCAGGGTAGGACCTGGAGTACCAGCCAAGCAGATGTACCAGGAGGTTTTCAAAAAATCAGTGCTAGGGGCAGCTAGGTGGTGCAGGGCATAGAGCACTGGTCCTGGAGTTGGGAGGATCTGAGTTCAAATCCTGCCTCAGACACTTACTAGCTGTGTGACTCTGGGCAAGTCACTTAACCCTATTGGCCTCAGTTTCCTCATCTGTAAAATGAACTGGAGAAAGAAATGGCAAACCACTCTAGTATCTCTGCCAAGAAAACCCCAAATAGGGTCCTGAAGAGTCAGACATGACTAACTGACTAAAAAAAGAAAAAAAGAGAAATACGGTGGAGAACACAGGTGATGTGAAACCAAAAGATACTCACAAAATTTCATTTAAAAAAGAAAAAAGATACCTCTGGGAGGGGGGTAATCAAATCTAGGGCAAGGATTCTTAACTTGGGGTCTCTGAATTTGTTTTTTATATGTTTCACAAATATATTTCGACATAATTGGTTTCTATATATTTTTTCTTTTTTTTTTTTATGGAGGTAATTGGGGTTAAGTGACTTGCCCAGGGTCACACAGTTAGTAAGTGAGGTTGGATTTGAACTCACGTCCTCCTGACTCTAAGGCCGGTGCTCTATCCATGTGCCACTGAGCTGCCCTGTATATTCTCTTGGATGCATTAACAGCATGATTCCGAGAAAGGTTCCATGGCCTTCGGCAGACACTGCCCAAGGGGTCCATGAAACAAACAAGGTGAAAGGCCGCAGACCCAGAGGAAAGGCACATCTGTCTTCCTCCTGGCTCTGGTTCTAATCCGATCCGTGTCTCCGGCTATCTGGAAGCTCTTCCCTGGGTCTACCTCAAGACCACGGGCAGTAGTGAGGGCGGAGTAGGGTGTGTGAAAGAGGACACGGGCGTGCCGTGAGACAAGGCATTGGTCCTCTTCCTTGCAGGGTGAAGAAGCCAGAGACCTATCTGATGCCCAAAGATCTCAGGAACAATGCCTCGGGTGAGAAACACAAGGGGTTCCTCAGGGGATGGGGAATGTCAAAGAAGGAAGGGATGGGAGAAGCCTCACCCAGAGGCAGTCATCCGGACTCAAGGAGGGGGAGGGCCTTCCACCGGGAAAGGGCATTCAGCTTGGTGTTCCCAGCAGCCCTGGGGCCGTTATCAGCCCTCCAGAGGCCTCCGCCGAATGAATGAATCCCAGAGCATCCTAGTGTCATCCCTCTGGAGGGAGAGGGTATCTTAGCGGCTGCCACTGGTCCATCCCTTATTTTACAGAAGAGGAAATTGAGGCCTAATGAAGATTATAGAATCATCAAGTTAGAAGGGACCTCAGAAAGCGTTTAGTCCAACACCCACCCACCCCCACCTCCCTTTTCCACTATTTTATGGAGCACAAAATGGAAAAGAAGTGAGCCGCCAAAGGTCATGCAATCAGTAAGTGTCTGATGTAGAATTTGAACTCAGGTCCTTGAACTCTAGAGCCAGTGGTCTTTGCACTGAGCTATGGCTGCATTGCCCGGCATTGAGGCTGAGTTTCTGGAAGGCTTTGGAATGTAACGGAAGGACCACAGAAGCCAGAGGCTGTGGGTTCAAATCTTGCCTTTGCCATTTGCTTATCTCGGTGACCTTGGCCAAGTCACTGAAACCTCTCTGGGCCTCTGTTTCCTTGTCAGTAAAATTAGGGGGTTGGACTAGGATTCAGCAGTTCCTCACCTTTTTGTCGTGGACCCCTGTGGCAGTCTGGTGAAGCGTGTGGACACCTGTCTCATAGTAATATCTTTTAATGCCTAGGATTCCATAGGAAATAAAATATATTGAAATAGTTATCAAAATATTTGAAACAGAAATCCAACAAGCTCACGGACCCCAGGTTAAGAAACCCTGGTAGATGAGCTGTTAAGTCCTTCATGCTGGATCGTTGATCTGACCTGTGTGACCTTGTACAAGTCACTTAATCTGTCTGTGCCTCAGTTTCCATTGGACTGGATGACCTCTAAGGGCCGTTCCAACTTTGGGTTATTTGGCTTCATCTGAGAACAAGCAGATCCTCTTTACGTCCCCACACAGAAGGAGGAAGAGGGGAAGGGCAGCAGAAACAAGAGAACGTGCTGGGGTGGAGGAGGGAGGGCAGCGTGAAGGCCTGTCCGCCTTCCTCCATCCTTTCTGGTACCTGGTGTGAGCGGGGGAGCGGTGGGAGGAGGCCGGGGTGCAAAGGGGAGCCCGCCTCCCTCCCTCCTCGCTCCACCTGCCACCCGAACCCCTCCTTCTCATCTGTCTTCTCTACTGCCCGCAGATATCACTGGCCCCATCATCTTGCAGACCTACCGGGCAATCGCAGACTATGAGAAAAACTCCAACACGGAGATGACCCTTAAGCAGGGTGACTTGGTGGATGTGGTGGAGAAAGGACAAAGCGGTCAGTTCTCCCTCCCCCCCTTCCTTCTGCTTTCTTCTTCCTTCCTCTTTCCATCCCCCTCTCCCCACCCTGGACAAGTCCCATCCCCCGCACAGCCTGGGCCAGGGGGGCCAGGCCCCCTTTTACCCTGACCTCTCCAAGGGCCTTTGGGGCCTCATCAGAGGATCTGGTCAGTCATTCAATGCTTTTATTTTGTGTTTATGGAATTGATATGTCCAAGGGTAGTGGGGGGGGGCGGTGCCAGTGTATAGGAATGAGTCCTTATTTGCTTCCCCAAGAATTGAGGCAATATGGTGGTCTTGTCTGGGAGGCTCTGGGGGTTGCAGGTAGGGGGAGGGGAGAAAAAGGGCTTAGATGATCTGTGAATGTGGGAGTATGTCTGTATGTGAGACGTGGCTATGATACATGTGTGTATGTCTATCCATGTGTCTCTGTGGGGGAAGCGAGAAGAAGGGACCAAGCATTTATTAAGCACCTACTATGTTCTAGGCACTGTGGTAAGTGCTTTGATCCTCACAACAACCCTTTGAGGTAGGTTGCTATTATAATATCTATTTTACAGGATCACAAAGATATGTTGGGGGGGGACCCACCAAAACTCTGGACCTTGGAGTCTGGGGGCTTGAGTTCAAATCATGCTGACACTTACTAGCTGTGTGATTAAAGCAGTTGATTTCTCTTAGCTTCAGTTTCCCTTTCTGTGAAATGGGGATATAAGAAATTGCTTTACTTGTTTCACAGGGTTGTTGTGAAGTTCTATAGAGATGGGAGTTATTTGATAGTGAAAATGATGTGTTTGGCAGCTAGGTGGTACAATGGTTAGAGCATTGGTCTTGGACTTGGGACATCCTGAGTTCAAATTCAGACGTTTGTAAACTGTGTGATACTGTGCAAGTCATTTACCTGCTCTGTGCCTCAGTTTCCTCATCTGAAAAAAGGGGATAATAATAGCACCTGCGTCCCAGGGCTGTGGTGAGGATCAACTAAGATAATTTGTAAAGCTTTTTGCAAACTATAAAGCTCTATGTAAATGCTGGTTATTATACTTATTAATTTATTTTCCCTCTATTTATTATTCTCACATATAGCCAAGGACATGTTTATGTGTTTATATTATATTCATATAGCAAGGAGTCAATCTCATGATAACCTCTCACTACATGTTTGTGTATATTAGGGGACAGGGGGGACCAGTGTGGGTTTGTAGTTGTGTAAGGATTATGCTTTTGCTTTGTTTGTTTGTTTGTTTGTTTGTTTTTTTTGGTGAGGCAATGGGGGTTAAGTGACTTGCCCAGGGTCACACAGCTAGTAAGTTTTATGTGTCTGAGGCCGAATTTGAACTCAGGTCCTCCTGACTCCAGGGCTGGTGCTCTATCCACTGTGCCACCTAGCTGCCTCTAGGATATGCTTTTGAACAAAAGGCTGGGAAGTGAGTATGTGTCTCTGTGCTCGTGTTTCTGTGTGCACTTGTGAATGAGCAGTGGGCCTGTGGACTTACTATCTAGCATAGGACTCTGTTTGCAACCAGCCCTCAACAGACATGTGCTGAATAGTTCAATGGAATGCCTGTCTCCATGGGAAAGCTTGTACATTTGGGCATGTCAGCGAATGCTCCCACAGCCCACGGGGGTCTGGAAAGCCACGGGGAGGGATGTGGCCCTCACACTGCATTTGTGGCTCTGGACACAGGTTGGTGGTTTTGTCAAACGAAGGAAAAACGTGGCTGGGTGCCAGCTTCTTACCTGGAGCCCACAGACAGTCCAGATGAGTCTGAGGAACAGGAGCCCAATTATGAAGGTACTCCTCCTTCCCCTTCCCAAAGACACCCTCCCCCCACCTTGAAGGGTGGACCTTATACACCCAAGTCCACCTTAGTCTAAACAAGACAGGATGCAGCAGACTGAAGAGAGAAGAGTTTCTTCCTAGCCAGTGACTTCTCCTCAGAGGGACTCAGTCATCCATCCATCCATCCGTTCATTCACCCATTCATCTATCCATTAATTTAATCAATCATTCAATAATATCTGTCCTGAATTCTGTCCTAATGAAGTGAGACAATGTGCTATAGTGACAAGACACCAGATCTGGAGTTGGAGGAGCAAGGTTCTGATCTGGACTCTGCTACTTGTTAGCTGTGTGATCTTGGGCAAGTGACTTCCCCTCTCTGGGCCTCACTTGCCTCATCCATAGATTGAACAGGATGATTACTTAGGTTCCTTCTAGCCTTAGAGCATATGATCTATGGTGCAAGAGATAAAGATGGTCCCTACCCTCAAGTTGCTTATCTAAGAGGAGATAAGAATTTGAACCCAGGCTTAAAAAAAATTAATTCTGAATTCAACAAACATGAAAAAAAGGAGAATTTCCATGTACAGAACAGACCAGAAAAATAAGATTGTCCATGAAAACAAAGATTTCCATCACATTCAGCTGGTTTTTCTCTCCAAGAACATAACATGTAACTTTCAAAGCTATCCTATTTGTCTGTTTCCTTTCGGCCTTCCTTCTGTCCCTTTCGTGAATTAAAAAAAAAATTCTGAACTTAAACATGAAAAAAATCCAGAGTATTTCCCTACACACAGCAGAACGAAATTCTGTATGAAACCATGAATCTCCATTTCATGTTTCCTGCTTTTAAAAAACTATTTAATACATTCTACATCTCACTTTCAAAACTGTCCTGCTTGTCTATGCTTCCTTCTGAATTTCCTTTTGTTCTTTGCATTTTAAAAAATGTTACAATGTCTCTCTACTTTGGGCAGCATCACTACTAACTTGTCTTTCCCCTAATCCTAGCCCCTCCAATTAAGAACCAAGAAAAAGAAAGAAAGAAAAAAAAAACTCTTGTAACAAATAAGTATAATCAAGCAAAACAGATCCACCCAGTGGCAAAATCCAAAAATGTCTTTTTATGCACACTTTTTATGCACTTTGTTAGGAGGTAGGTAACATGCTGCATCACTGGTCTCTTGGATTGATCAGAATTCTTAAGTCTTTCAATGCTGTTGTTGTTGTTGTTGTTTTTAACGATGTTTCTGTTTTTTAATAAACTGTTCACCAGGTTCTGCTCACTTCACTGCACCACTTCAAACTAACGCTAATTCTCAGAAATTATCTCCTTTGTCATTTCTCGCAGTGTGATAATATCCCAATACATTCATATACCACAATTTGTCCAGCCATTCTCCAATTGTCTAAGGAACTCCCTTAGATTATAGTTCTGTTCTCTTCTTTCTCCTCCTTGCCCCCCCAATTCAATCTCTTTTTTGGATCAGCACATTCATTTCATTTGTCTTTATTCCCTCCCCAGTATTATTTTCCCTCCTGACCATCTCCTCCCTTCCTATTTCCTCCCTATTCACCGGCTGAGTTAGGTGTATTTCTATACCAAATTGTTGTGTGCCTTCAAACTACCTTTGTCTCTTTCCAATAAGAGTGCCATCTCCTCCAGCTCTTCCCTCCATGTTTGTATACTTTTCTTCTGTGGTGCCCTAATTATGAGAAATAACCGAGTTCCACCCCCTTTTTTCCATTCTAGATCAATGTATTCCTCCTTTTACCTTCCCTTCTCTTTTCCCTTTTTTAATCCCTTGGAACCAAACTAATCCCCCCACTCCTCCCCCCCAGGGTCTTTATTTTTTTCTTAGTTAACTCCGTTAATACTCTTTGAAGATAAGAAAGTTATGAAGGGACCCTTATTTCTTCTCCTCCTAGCAGAATGTTAGCACTACATCATCATACATTTCCTTCTAATTCCTCAAACAAACCTTACACTTTCTAGGTGTCTCTGGACTCTTGTGTTTGTATTTCAAGGTTTCTACTCAGTTCTAGTCTTTTCATCAGAAATGCTTGAAAGTCCTTTATTCAGTTAAGATCCATTTTTTTTCCTCTATAGGATGATACTCGTAGCAAGGTAAATCATTCTTGATTGTAAGCCTATGTTTTTCATCTTTTGAAATATTGTGTTACAAGATCTCTTTTCATTCATGAAAGAAACTGCCAGGTCTTGTGTGACCCTGACTCTGGTTCCATGGTACTTGAGCTGATTTTTTCTGGTTTCTTGCAGCATGTTGAAGCTTTTGTTTCATTTTGTTTACATGGGAGCTCTGGATTTTGGTTATGATATTCCCGTGACTTTTCTTTTTTTGTATTCCTTTTAGGAAATAAGAGGTAAATTCTTTCTTTCTTTACTTAGCCCTGTGATTCTAGTAAGACAGAGAGAGTTTTCGTTTATAATTGATTGAAATATAGTGTTCAGGCTTTTTTAAAAGTCATAGTTTTCAGAGATTCTAATGATTCTTAAATTCTCCCTTCTTGACCTATTTTCCAGGTCAATTTTGATATCAAATATCTTTATTTAATTTATTTATTTTAATTTTATGATTTTGTTCTAATATTTCTTGCTGTCTCATGGAATCACTGATTTCTGTTTCATCTCTTCTGGTTTTCACAGATTGCACTTCTTGGATAAAGTTGACCACTTTCCCTTCTAACTTATTTATTCACTTTCCAATTCTTTCTTCAAGAGCTTTCATTTCATTTAAAAAAATCTATTACTTCATTTTTTCTAGGTACTCATGTAATCCTTGTAGGAAATCTATTTTTTCTTTTTATTCTTTGTTCACAATTGTTATAGGGTTACTCACTCTAACTTTGGGGGAAGTCTATACATTTGCAATAATTTTTATATAGGTTGGTTTTTTTTTAATCTATTCATCTCCCCAACTTTAGGACTGAATTGGGAACCTGAGCTACTCCCCGCTGGTGTTTCCCTTGGGTTCCTGTACTTTCCTCCATCTTTTGGGGTTAAACAGACTCTCCTGGATCTTTGAGGTTCTAAGCGCTGGATCTTGAGGGCTCTCTCTAGCATTTTAGAAGCATTAGGGATCTTGAAGACCCTGGACCATGGCCATCCTGATCTGAGCTTAGCATTAGAGAACTACCATACCTCTTTGGACATTCCAAGGTCTCCCTCCTGGAGCTTTCTCAAAGGTTCCTCAGCTCTTGCTCTCTTTAGATCCCTCAAGCTATCTCTGGTCTCCCTGGGAGTCTACCCTGGGTGGGTACTGGCTTTACTGATGACCCCCATTCTTATTGATTCTGGCTGATCTTTTGGACAGTTCTGGTGGTAATCACTTATTATAAATTCTCATTGGATTTATTGATCATTTTGAACTTTAGAGTTTGACCTAGTTTGAACTTTAGAGGTTTGCTCTACTAGGTATATGGGAGATGGGCCATTTGAGCCATCTTGGACCAAAAATTGGGCAGCCATCTTGGTCAGAACCTGAGTAGCCATTTTGACTAGAAATTGGAGCCCATCTTCCCAGCTCCAAGTTGAGTGTCCTATCCACTGAGCCACAGTGTCTCTCTTATAAAGCCATGGAATTGAATAAATTCACCAAGAGAGGAAGGGTAGAGAGAAAAGAGGGCCTAGAACAAAGCCTTGGGGAGCACCCAGAGGGGAAGAAGGATGGACAAAGACGACAGAGGAATGGTGGGACATGTAGGAGGAGTAGGTCGTGTCACAGGCACCCAGTGAGAACCTCTGAGGAGGGCGAAGAGCACCTAGGTCCAGGTCAGCCTGTGGACAGGACAGGGCAGGGGAGGGGGAAAGATTGTGATGGTGGAACAGAAGGGAGAGATGGGTCTCAGAACTTTGTACCCATATGACCATCCCAGGTGAACCTTATGTCACCATCAAAGCTTACACTGCCGTGGAGGAGGACGAGATGACATTGAATGAAGGGGAAACCATTGAAGTTATACACAAACTGCTGGATGGCTGGTGGGTCATCAGGTAAGAGAAGAGGTTCAGTTTGGGGAGCAAGGGTAAGGGATGTGGGAAACAGGCCTAGTCAAGTCTTAGGGAAGACCGTTAGGGACTTAAGACCATTATTATTTCCCTGGGAAAGACTCTCAGGATGGAGTCACCAACTGGGGAGGCAACATGACATAGATTCAATCAACCAACTAATCAGTCAGCTAGGTAGGAAGTTGGTGGAGTGCTGGTTTGGAGACAGGACTCCCTGAGTTCAAATACTGTTTCATATACTTATCAGCTGTGCAGCTCTGGGTAAGTCACTTTAGTTTTCTGTGCCTCAGTTTCCTCTCTATAAAACCAGGGCGTTGGACTCAGTGGTCCCTTCTAGCTCTAAATTTATGATCCTTTGATCCGATCGATCTACCAGCATTTATTAAGTGCCTACTAGTGCCAGGTATTGTAGGAGTCACTGGGGATTTAAAGAGACCTGGACCCAATTTGGCATCAGGAGACCTGGATTCTAATTTCTGCCTCTGCCACTAATTCACTGTGAGACCTTAGGCAAGTCACTTCCTTTCTTTTGGAGTAAATGATCTGGAAAGGAGCAGTTTAATAGTGGCTCTGGATTCAAATCTCTCCTCTGTGCCCCTGGGAGAGTCCCTTCATTTCCTGAACCTCAGTTGCCTCGTGTTTAAATTGAGGGGGTCAGTCCACATGTCCTCTGAAGCTGCCTCAAATTCTAGATGTAGGATCCTCTCCGGCTCCACCATTTTGTGGCTCTGTCCCTAACTTGCTGGGTGACTTTGGGCAAATCCTAAACCTCTCTGGGCCTCGGTTTTCTCATCTGTCCAAGAGGCATAATTAAACCCTGCCTCCATTTAAAGGGAGCGATCCCTTTGCTGGGGATCTCCCGTTCATCCTCTTGGAGACGCTGCCTGTCCCAGGGATCCTGCCTGGGGAGTATTTCATGGGGCCGTATGATTGTAGGAAAGATGAAATCACCGGCTTCTACCCATCCATGTACCTCCAGAAGTCTGGGCAGGACAACACCCAAGCCAAGAACCTCATCAAGAAGAGGGGGGCCCCACCCCGCAGGTGAGAGTCCTCCGGGGGCCCCTTTGTTTGGGGCGATGGGATGGGAGGCTGAGCTTGTAGGAAATCAACCAGGGCAGCTGCACTGGGCACTGTCTGAGTGCCAGCTTGAGGGGAGGCAGGAGAGGAGAAGAGACTGGCACTGCCCTCAGGGAGCTTACAGTCTGCAAGACTAACATGCAGAGCTCACTGCCCATACCTACATAACTGGCATGTGTCACAGAACCCCAGGAATCACGTCTTAACTTTTCAGATATCACGGACACATGTGAGTCAGAGAACCTGGGTTCCCATCCTGACCTTGTCACTTAGTGCAAGGTCATGCAGGTGCATGACCCTGGGCAAAGCGCATCATTTCCATGGGCCTCAGTTTCCTTATCTGTAAAATGAGGGGTTAGACTACGCTCTACCTCCAGGATCCTTTGAACCCCGGGAGGGGTCTGCGCTAAGGGCCAAGGGAGGAGCAGCCTCTCTGGGATGCCAGGGGGCTGACAGTCTCCAGCTATGCCTCTGTCCTATGAGCCTGCGACTGGAGTAAGGCAAAGAGGGGCCAGCCCTCAGGGGGGAATGAGAAGCCCACGTGAAGGGAGCCCCAGGAGCCGAGGGCATGGGGTTGAATCTGAGAGGACTTCCTGCAGGAGGTGGGCTTGATACCCACACTCTCCCCACTCCCAGGTCCTCCATCCGCAATGCTCAGAGCATGCACAAGCTTGCCCGGAAGCGCATCAGCCAAGATTCTTATCGGAGAAACAGCGTCAAATTCATCCAGCAGCGAAGGAGGATGAGGCAGCTCAGCGCCCCGAAGGAGGACAGCCAGCCTGGTGAGTGTCCCCCCTGCGGCCTTGGGGGGGGCCCTGGTGCTAGGAAAGGGCTTGGAGGTCAGGGGGGCCCGCTGGAATGTGGCAGAGGCAGTGTGTCAGGGTGGGAGGAGCCCAATTAGGAAACCAGGGCCTGGGTTCAAATCCTCCTCCGGGCCTAGGAGCATCTAAGAGGCCCAGAGAATAGGCGCTGAGCAAGGCTCTGGTCCCCTGGTCTTCTCCCTCCCCACCCTCTTCTCACCCTTTCAGGCCCCCTTCCCCCATCCTTAGTCCTTCCCAGTCTTTGTTCCTTTCCCTTTTGTGAAGCCGCTTCCAGGCTGTCCTCCTCCCTGTCTCCTTCTCATTCCTCCCGACGCAGAGGGTTTGCAGTCTCACGCATAGGTAGAGCAGGTGGCTGCCCAGCCGGTGATATTCTCCTGAATAGGGGAAGGCTCCGTAAAGACCTTCCCAGTGATGTATACAATTCTACCATTACAGCATCACTGCCTTCTTGGGCACCTATTTTAAGCAGCTCCACATTCAGTCCCCAACAGTGGGACTGAGCTGATCAGCCAGTCAATGAACAAGTATTTATTAAGCACCTACTGTGTGCCAGGTACATGGTGGGGGTGCAAGTACAAAGAGTAAGACAATCCCTACTGGCAAGAAGCATCCATTCTCCAGGACAAGACAGATACAGGTGGAAAAACGGTCTGGGTGGGAATCAGTGGGATGGGGGTGGAAGGGGGTGACAAATTTCCCCTTTCACATTTTGCTGAGGGCCGCTCTGCCAGCAACAAGCTTGTGTGGCTTGCTCTTACTCGCTGGCAGGGGATCCTGGGTATGAGAGAAGGAAGGAAAGAAAGAGGGGAAGATGCTATTTCTCTGTTACCCACTGCCTGGTTTTCACTGGGCTTGCTGTGTGCTAGAGACCTGGCCTCCTGATGACAGGGGTGGTGCCCAGGAAAGATTGTGCAAGGCCTCACAGAGGTGAACAGGGCATGTGATGCCCCTCTCTCTGTTTCTCCTTTTTTCCCTCTTTCCTTCCTTCCTTTCTTCTTTCTTTCTTTTTTCCTCTCTCCACTTCCTCCATCCTGCCTCTCACTTTTCTCTCCCTCCTCTCTCCTTCTCTCTCTCTCTCTCTGTCCCTGTCTGTCTGTCTCTCTCTCTCCCTACTTCCTCCATCCCACCTTTCACTTTCTTTCCTCTACTTCCCCTTCTCTCCCCCTGTCTCGCTATGCCTTTTCATCTCTATCTCTTTCTCTCCATCTGTCTCTCTATTCTCTCTGCCTTTCTGTCTCTCTGTCCCTGTCTCTCTTTCTGTCTTTTTCTCCATCTCTCTGTCTCTCCCTCTTTCTCTCTCTCTGACTGTCTCTTTCTGACTCTGTCTCTCTCAATCTTCACTACCAGAAGAGTCCCCGAAGGCGCCCATGAAGCCCCAGCCAGCTGTGCCTCCTCGGCCCAGCCAGGACCTCATTCTCAACCGCTGCAGTGAGAGCACCAAGAGAAAGCTCATGACATCGGCCTGATGCCCAGCCTCCCGGACTCTCCCGGGCCCCAGAAGGCCGGGTTGGCACGTGATGGGAGGACTTTATACCGCAGCACAAAGTCACAGGGCCAGGCAGGCTCCAGCTGCCCTGTTCTCGCCTTGCCCTGCCAGCATTGACCAGCCCACTTGGGGAGCTCCTCTGTCTCTTGTTGCACCTCGGTCTTCCTCCTCCTCCAGGGAGTCTCCCCTGATCCCAGCTGGCCCCTCTTCCCTCCTCTTTGCTGCTGTGTACATATGTGTGTAGTCACTGGGAACTGTCTGCTTCTGTTTTCTCCCCACCTCTAGGCTGTGAGCCCTGGAGGGCAGACGCTCCTGCCCCTCGGAGCTCTCTGTACTGCCCAGTCTCTTGGCAGCCGGCCCTCAATAAACACTGGTTGAGGAGTACGAAGGGGAGAGCGTTAGTGGCCCTCCCCAGTCTCTGCCCCCCCCACCCCCCCTCCACTCCCCCTCCGCTCCCCAGCCGGGGGCTCTGGGGACCTGCCAGAGGGGGAAGTTGCAGGAGTTTGGGGCTGGAGCGGGGCCTATTACACACAGCCTTGGCCAAGAACAGGCTTGCGAAAGGCCGTCCTGCACAGAGGTACTTCCTCCTCAGCCGGTCTGCCCAGAGCGTGCTTGTTGCCTGGGCAGCCTCCGTCCTCCCCCTTCCTTTGCTTCCCCTGCCCCATCAAGCTTCTGCAGACCTCCCTCCTCCCTCCAAGGTTCTGGGGTGGAGGCAGGGAGGCAGGGAGGCAGGGAGGCCGTGAGGCTTGGAGCCCTGACCTCAGAGGGCCGACCGTGGGGTCTCCAGCCACCTCCTACCTGAGTTTCCTCTTTTGTAAAACGGGGGCGCTGGAGCAAACGGCTTCCCGGGACCCTTCTGGCCCTAGGTCTGTGGGGATGCTCTCGCTCCAGCTCCGGTCCGCCTGGTGATGACCCCAGAGTGCACACGGCTGCTCATGTGAGACCCGGTGCCTGGGTGAATGTGAAAGTGTCTGTAGGAGTGATGGTCTACACGTGGAGGGCTCTGAGTGTGGAAAGGGGGTCGTGTCTGCGTACCTGAGTGTGGCAAGTGCCCATTTAGAGAGCCACAGGAGCTGAGTTCAAATTCTGACTCTGCCACCTTCTACCTTGGGCAGGTCACTTAGCTTTGGGCCCGTCCCCTCAGCCTTGCAGGGAGGGTGGCCTGGGTGGGGTCTGAGGTCCCTTATGACTCCGGAGCTGACTGCAGTGTGAGGTGTACAAGTCCCGGGGGGTGTTTCCCAAACCTGAATGGATTCCCCCCTTCCATAGCTCACTAAAAGCCTCTTTGGGGGTCCCCTGCCCCCAGGTCACTCAGCCCTAGTTCCTTGCTTGCTCTGGGGGAGAGGGTGTGTCCTGGCCACACAGTGCGGACTGGCTGATCTGCTTCTAAGAAGGAAGCTGGCCTGTCTGGGTAATTCCCACAAAGGACTGTTCCACGGGGGGCCTTTCCCTCCTCCAAGATGGGCCAACCCTCAGTTAGCTTCCTCCAACAGCACATCACCAATGGACCCCCTGTCCCCTCCCCTGCCCTGACACATCTTTTGGGGATTCTACCATTTGCTACTTGGAGTGACCTTGGCCAAAGTACTCCCCCTCTCTGGGCCCCAGTTTTCTTATCTATAAACCGAGGCGATCAGACTCCATTGCCTCAGAGATCTCTTCCAGCTTCCAAGATCTGATGACAGGATTGATTCCTTCCTCTGCCCCTTATTACATGATGCAGCTGGGTGGTGCAGTGGATAGAGCACCAGACCTGGAGTCAGGACGATCTGACTTCAAATCTGACCTCAGACACTAGCTATGTGACCCTGAGCAAACATTGAACTTCTGTTTGCCTCAGTTTCCTCATCTATAAAATAGGAAAGATAATAAAAGCACCTCCCTCCCAGGGTTGTTGAGAAGATCAAATGAGATAGTAGTGGTAAAGCACTTAGCACCATGCCTGGCACATAGTAGGTGCTATATAAATATTATTATTAACCTTTGCCTGGCTCAGTTTCCTCAACTGTAAAATGGGGGTAATAATAGCCCTCATTTTCCAGGGTTGTGAAGAGAATTGTAATGAGATTATTGTAAAGCACTTACCACAGTGCCTGGCACGTTGTAAGTGCTATGGAAAGTGTTATTATTATTATTATCATTATGGATTAGGTGTGACCCTGGTCATCATGTAATCCCTCTGTGCCTCAGTTTCCTCATTTGTAAGATGAGTGAGTCGCACTAGATGGCCTCTGAGGGCCCCCCCAGCTCTGGATCTAGGAGCCGATGAGCTAGGAGGAGGAGGGAGAAGGTGTTTACAGCTGGAGGGACCAGGCAAGCCTTCCCAGGAGATGTGCCCTTGGAGTCTGTCTGAAGAAGAGTGGACCCAGCCGGTCTGGACTGCTAGAGCCCCGAGGCCGTCTGATCCACCCTTTACTTTCACAGGTTGAGGAAGTGAATCCTTTGAGGGGGGTGTGAGTGCCCTGCACCCCGGGTCACCCGAGGAGTTCAGTGGAGCTGGGACTAGCACCCGGACTTTCCATCCCTAAGACCTCACAGAGCAAGCTCAAGGCTCGTTGGGCCCAAGGTGTTAAGGCCCCCACCAGCTGCTGAGCTCCATCCCAAGAGAAGGGCAGGGCTCTTCTTACCCGCACTGTGTGTCTCCCCCAGCTCTCCCCCGGCATCTCAAACAGCAGGCAGGACTTTTCATGGGGCACAGCAGATACACGAGGCAGCTGCTCTCCGAGGACCCCGGCTCAGGGTCACTTCAGAGGGACACAGCATCCTTTGGAGAGAAGTACTGTTCAGAGGGCCTGGATGAGCCGAGCCTGGAGGGTCTGCATCTAAGGAGCATTGGACAATAAAAGAGCCCCCAGGTTGGGCTGGATCAGCTTTCTGCAGCTTCTGGGTCTCCCCAGAGCGTGCATACTGATGATAATGGCTAAAGAGGGGGACCCAGAGCTCTGCTGCCTCCGGAAGAACGAAGCTTTCCTGGACCACAGGGCACGGAATCTGGCCGGCTTTTGCTTCTGGCTGGGCCTTTAGGAGACAGACCCTTAGAGCTTGTTTGTCTTCTTTTACCAGGGAGTGAGGTAAGGTCTTGTGGGTCATGGGACTCGTCCTTGGATCATAGAATTAGAGCTGGGAGAGTTTTGAATCCAGAAGCATTGAAACAACCTAGAATCATAGGATTGTAGAAGTGGGTCTGGAAGAGACCCCAGACCATGCAGTCCAACCTCCTCGTTTTCCTGATGAGGAAACTGAGGCACAGAGAGGTCTAGTGACTTGTCCAGGGTCACACAGATATTAGTAAGTATCTGAGGTGGAATTTGAACCCACCTGTACCTAACTCCAAATTCAGTACCCTATCCACTCTACCACACTGCCTCATAGAGATTACATTGGTCAGGGAGGGGGAGAGAGGACATAAGCATGAGACAAGGAGAACTGAGGCAAGGACAGAACTCTTAGAACTGAGAGGGAAAATCAGGGAAGGCTTCCTGGAGGAGATAGCCCCGCCGAGCCTTGAAGGAAAGGAAGGAGTCTAAGAGCAGGGGATGAGGAGGGGACTCATTCCAGGCACAGCTTGAGCAGGTAATGAGGTAGAATGTGGTAAGTCAAGTTCAGGCAAGTCAACAAGCATTTATTAAGGGCCTCCTATGTGCCCAGCACTGTGCTAAGTCCCAGAGATATAAAATGAGGTCAAAGACAGTCCCTACCCTCAGGGAGCTTTCAGTCTAATGGAGAGACCACATGTATACAACTATGTACAAACAAGGCATTTACACAACAGATGGGGGTAGAGGAAAGGCATTATGGTTAGAGAGGACTGGGAAAGGAAGAGCCTTTAGCTGAGACTTGAGGGAAACCAGGGGGAGGACATGAGGACGGAGAGTTCCAGGCATGGGGGGAAGCCAATGGGAAGGTGTGGTGATGCAAGATGGAGCATTGTGTGTAGAAATGGCAGAGGCCAGTGGCCCTGGAGTAGCAGCAGCGATGGGTGGGGAGGGAAGGTGTAAGACGACCCCTGTAAAGGGGAATCCAGAGCACAAACAATTCACTTTTGGCCTATGTGCTCCTGTGTGCATATGGAGGTCTTGGATGGAGTTGGGTAAAAGTGGTGTTGTGTGGTGAAAGGGACGGTGTTCCTGTTGGTGGGAAGCTCGTAGGCAAAGGCTGGAGGTAGGATATGGTGGACCGGAGTCAAGGAGACCAGTGAGGCAGCTCTTTCTTGTAAGAATGAGAAGTGATGGAGGCCTCAGCAAGGCTGGCTCCGAGACCAGAAAGAAGCGGACATTCTAATGCAAGACCTCTAAAGGAAGTATTATTAACAAAACAAAACAGAACTCTAATTGACTAATTAGATGTGGGGGGGAGGGGAACCTAAGAGTCAGACACGATTCTGAGATTAAGAACCTCATACTCTCACCATAAACAGACCAGCCAGGAGGAAGAGCTGTTTCAGACCCTGAGTTTCCAGCTCTTTCCACCATCCCAAGCTGCTTCCATGTTTCCGTTTTGGGTGGGAGCCCAGACTTGTGACTTTATTGCCCTCGGGAACTTCCAGATGAAGAAACTCTCTCCACCAACGCAGGTTGGCCCTCACTGTGCATCTCAGAGTCTGAGTTGCCTTGAACATTGAGAGAGTGACTTGCCCAGGGTCACCCAGCCAGGATGGGTCGGAGGTGGGATGTGAGCCCAGGCTGGGAAGACTGAGGTCCAGCTCTCTGCTTGCGCTGCCTCAGAGAGATGACGCGTTGGCCTTTTTAGCCCCTTCACTTGTGCTCTTCTTGTGTCACCCGCACTCCTCCGACATGGTGGAGAGCTTCTGGACCAGGGTCCCCACATCGTGGCATTCTCTGTCTTCTTACCCACACGTATCGGAACCACAGAAAAGTCAGCTCTGGAAGGGACCTTGGAGCCCATCTACTCATAGACTCGTAGGACCCAGAGGCCCAAGAGGAGCCTAGGGTCATCTCTTCCAACTCCCTTGTGTCACTGGGGAGGAAACGTGCCGGCCAAACTGGTGAGGGAAATCTGATGTATTCTTGAGGCAGTTAGGTTGGATGGTGGGTAGAGCATTGGGCCTGGAGTAAGCAAGTTCAAATCCAGCCTCAGTCACAAGTGACCGTGGTCACTCACTTAACGTCTGTCCGTTTCCTCAGCTGTAAAAAGGGGATCATAATAGCAGCAACCTCCCAGGATTGTTGTGAGGATCAAATGAGAAATCTGTGAAAGTGCTTAGTGTAGTGCCTCGTACACAGTAGGTGCTGTTTAAATGCTTATTCTCTTCTCCTGCTCTTCCCACTCACTTACCACTTCTTTAGTCTTCTGGGCAACAGGCTGACACCAAAACTGGTGACCCGCACCCACACCCTCAGAGGCGTGGCCTGCTCTGACTTCCTGTCCAGCCCCTGGAGTGAGGAATGGACTGCCAAGGGCCACCATCTAGCCTGGCCAAGCAGTCAGAGCCTCCCGACCTCACTGGGCCACTTGTTTAGAGCCCCAGGCTATGCCCTGGTTGGTTTCCCTCTACAGCAATCGGTACTCAGGAAACGCCTTCGAGTTTAGCCTAAGGCAGCCAATCATGCAGCTCCTTCCCCATTCACCAGCAGCAGATGGAAGCAGATTGCCCATGCTTGTAGAACTTCCCACCCCATCCCCATATTCTTGTGTGAAAGGCCTCTGAACAACAAATATGAACTAAGTAAGCCACTGCCGGGGATGGAAAGGTAGAAAGACAGACTGATGGATGCAAAGGTATATATATAGAAATATATATATATAGATAGATACATAGATAAATAGGTAAATTGATCAACAGAATAGATCAATAGAAAGATAAATAGACTGATAGATGCAAAGGTATATAGATAGAAATAGATGAACAGAAAGCTAGATTGATAGGTCAATAGAAAGATAGAAATATAGATTGATGGATAGATAGAAAGATAGGCAAATAGATGGATAGATACAAAGATAGAAACATGTATATACATGGATAGATAAAGCAATAGATCAATGGAAAGAAATCTAGATAACATAGAAAGATGGGCAGATAGTTGGATAGAAAGATAAACAGAAAAATAGGTTATAGATACAAAGACAGAAATATATATGGATAAATTGATAGATCATGGAAAGATAGATTGGTGGAAAGACAGGGAGAAAGAAATATAAATAGATGGATAGATAGAACATTTATTAAGCACTTACTATGTGCCAGGTATCACGCCTTAGCACTGGGGATGGAAACAAAAGAGACAAGTCCTGCTCTCAAGGAATTTTCAGTCCAGTCCACATGGAAACATAACTTGGATTTAGGCTGTGCCTAAATGTTCTACGCGTGACCCGAGCGGTATATGCTACTGCGTCATTCCCAGCTGGGGTGGTCAGGGAAGGCTTTCTGGAGGCGGTGGGACTTGAGCTTTGAAGGATGATTTGGCAAGACAGAAGGGGTGAGGGACTGCTAACCCTAAGCCTCTAGCGCTGATCTCACCTCCCTGTGATTCTGTGCCATCTGCGCCACGCTCACCCCCTAGCTCTTGATGTCTCACTGCTGACACCCCATGGCCAAGAGCCAAACGGAAAATCTGAGTCCTTCGAAGAGGGAGGGAGGGAGTGGATGGAACAAGGGTTGCTCTCATCCACACCCATTTCGTTATTTCTTGGGGCACAATAATAGTGCATTACAACCATGTACCACGATTTCTTTAGTCATCCCCCCACAGGAGCTCAATCCTTTAGTTTTCAATTTTTGGCTGCCAGGACAAGAGCAGCTCAACAGTGAATTAACGGGATGGCTTTGGGCAAGCTGGAACAATCTCTGTGCGATATCTCTCTCCCTGTTCCTTACCTACCTCACAGGAGTATTGTAGGGATCACTCGGAAATGTCTGTAATGGAAAAGAGCTCCTTGGACAAAGACTAATTTAAGTACGAAATAATTTATCAAAGTTGACTTATTCTTGGGGTGTAAAAGAAAGAAAACCCTGTCAATGGGGACAGACACAAAATAGGCATTGTCAGGCATTGTATGACCAAACTGGCCGGAGGACCCGGAGCCATTCCCCTAGAGAGGATAAATAGTCAAAGGACATAAATAGGCTGCTTTCGAAGGAAGAAATCCAAGCTGTTAATAATACAAAAACAAAAAAAAAAAAGCTTTAAATCACTAATACCTAGAGAAACGCAAATTAGAGCAACTTTGAGGTTTCACCTGAGACCTATCAGACTGACAAAGACGACGAAAGAGGAGAACCAACAGTGGAGAGGCTTTGTGAAAACAGGTATACTTGTGCATTGTTGGTGGAGCTGTGAACTGGTCCAGCTATTCTGGAAAGCAATTTGGAGCTACGTGCAGAAAGTCACCACTATGTGCACATACCCTTGGCCTCAGCGATAGCATTGCTAGGTCTATATTCTAACGAGAGCAAAGAAAAGGTGTATACAAAAATATTTCCAGCTGCTCTTTTATTGTGGGGACAGAGGGCGCTATACATTGGAGAATGGCTGAACAAATTGTTTCAATCCTCCCCCACCCACTACCCAGGGATAAAGAATGTCCGCGAAGCTGCAGACCCCAAGTTCTCACTATGCCGAGCTTCCTGGGATGGGGATGGGGCGGGCTCGGGCCACAGCACGGATAGGAGGTGGTCACTGCCCAGGGCCTTTCTAGAGCAGGAAGGGCCCTCGGAGGCCATGAAGTCCAACCCCCTCATTTCACAGAGGGAGAAACTGAGGTCCACAGATGTAAAGCCATTAATGCAGTAAGTGACAAAGCGGGGATTGGAACCAAGTGCTCTTTCTTCTGTACAAGCTGTAGAGCTGGAAAGGTCCTTAGGTCTAACCCTCTCTCCTATCCTCAACACCTCCCTAGAACTCTAGTCCTCCCTTTCTACTAGTTAGATCTTCGAGGTTCCACTGGGGCCTCAAACTCATCTTCTTCCCCTCCAGCTCATACCTTCCTATATATTTTCTATTTTCCTCATTAAGTCAAGGTGCACTTATTAAGCGCCTACTGTGTGCTAAGTGCTCGAATTACAAATAAAAGTGGAAAACACAGATGGTCCCTGCCCTCAAGGATCTTACATTCTAATGGAGGAAAACAGCGCATAAAGGGGAGGTAGAAAACGAAGCGGGGAGAAGGTAAGCAAGGGCGGCAGCGTGCTGTTCATAGCTATAGTCAGTGCTCATTCACTTCATAAGTGCCTGCTCCTCGTTTTACAGAGGAGGATTTGACCGCGCTCTCAGAGGGTCAGACGTGGGTTTCGAACTCTTGTTCCAAAACCTCCCCCACCCTCCTCCAGCACTGTCTATTCTGAGCATGCGCCTAAGCGAGTGGGAGGGGCGGAGTTTTTCTTCGCTCTGCGCAGGGCATGCGAGGGGCATAACCCCCCCCATGGTCTGCGCTGATTGGCTGGGGCCGCAAATAGGGTTATCGCGTGGAACTCCCTACAACGACGTCACTCCCGCTTCCGCCCATATTCAACATGGCCGAGAGGGCTTTCCGCCCCGGATGCGGAAGGGGCGGGCTGCGGGGGAAAGGTCAAAGGCTTCCCAACATGGCGGCACCCCAGGCGTGAGGCCTCCGAGAACGCTGATGGCGGGGGCGACGTGGAGAGGGGTGTGCGTGTGGGCGCGGCGCGCGGCGCTGTTGCCAGGGCGCGCTTGCCCGTTGCTAAGGACGCGCTGGACCGCGGCTGGGAAGTCTCGGAGCCGACGGGAGGCGGCCGAGGCCGAGGCCGAGGTTCCCGTGTTCCAGTACGTGGGCGAGCGGGCGCGGCGCGCGGACCGCATCTTCACGTGGGGCTTCTCGTACACTGGCGCGCTGGGCGTGCCCAGCCTGGTGAAGCCCAGCGCCGACGGGCCCGCCGCCGGCCGCAAGCCCCGCGCCATCCAACCGGTGCCCTACCGCCTGGAGCTGGATGCCCGGGTGAGACGAGGGGGCGGGTCAGGGAGGGCCGGACCAATGAGGGGCGGAGCTGATGTGCATGACCAGCGAGGGGCGGGAACAAGAGCGGACCGGACCAATGGGGGCGGAGTTGATGCGCATGACCCGCGAGGGGCGGGAACAAGAGCAGGCTGGACCAATGGGGGGCGGAGTTGATGTGCATGACCGGTGAGGGGCGGGGCCGAATGAGGGATGGCACTGTTAGGCAGGGCCAGTTAAGGGAGGAGCTTATGGGTGCCCTGGCATCAGGAAGGCTCATGTTCAAGAGTTCAAATCCAGCCTCAGACACTTCCTAGCTGCGTGACCCTGGCCAAGTCACTTAGCCCCGTCTGCCTCAGTTTCCTCATCAGTCCAGTGAGCTGGAGAAGGAAATGGCAAACCACTCCGGTATATCTGCCAAGAAAACCACAAATGGGGTCATGGAGAGTCGGACACAACCAGCAGCGGCAACAGAAAGCAGACACATTTAGGGCCCTTACGGACAAGCCCGTATTCATTCACTCTCCATCTTTGTCCTTGCTTGTTGCTGCCTGCTCAGCCTCGGACCCCGTCCCATCAATGACGCCCTTCCATCTTCAATCTCTCTTTTTTTTTAGGTGAGCCAATTAGGGTTAAATGACTTGCCCAGAGTCACTCAACTAGTAAGTGTTGTGTCTGAGGCTGGATTTGAACTCAGGTCCTCCTGATTGTGGGGGTGGTGTGCCACCTAGCTGCCCCCATCTTCATCTCTTCCTTTCCCCTTCTGCCTTCTGCTCAAAGACATCCTTGGGTCTCCTTCCCACGGCTGATTAGTCCCTTCCAGCCACCCCGGGTCTCTTGTCTTCCACCAGCGATCTTCTCAGGGAAAACAAGACAATCCAGACCCCAACTCATCCTTTTGTGGTGTGTTGTGGTGGACAAGCTCCTTTTCTAGCAGCTCCGTGAGGTCATAGCGTTCTCTGCCTCATTTTACTGATGAGGAAGCTGAGACCCTCGGCCGGGAGGTGGTTTGTTTCATTGGGTCAGTTTCAACGCCTCCTTTCGCCCATCAGTGTCTCCCAAGATGGCGTCTGCTCACCCTGATCTTGAAGGTGTTGTTCCTTAGGCCACCAGTGACTATGTGATGGCCAAATATCAGTCCTCCTTCTGGACTCCTCTACTGCATTCAGTACCTTTAACCGCTGCCTGTCTCTCAACTCTTTCTCCTCCTTGGGCCCCACGGTCTTCCACCATCTTGGTTCCCTGACCAGTTCTCTGTCTTCATTGAAGGCATTTCTTTCTCTTGGCATCCCCCCAGATCCTCTCGCTCTTCTGTCCGTGTGGGTGGTCTCCTTTGATGTTGTCCCATGTCTCAGTAACCCCCGCTTCTCTCCTTTGTGCCTGGAGCGGGTGAGAGGCATCTGTGACCGTCTGTCTCAGTCCATGACCTCAGGAACCGATAGCAGCTAATGTAGGATCTTGAATTTGCTCAACGTCTAACCTTATTTGTTCCAAAAGCAGCCGTATGCACCTCTGTGACTCAGTAAGTGAACAAGTCAGTCGCTTACCGTGAGGGGGTTGCCTTTCAGATTTCGTCCGCCGCCTGCGGCTACGGATTCACACTGCTGTCATCCCAGACCCAGGACATCACCAAGGTCTGGGGCATGGGGCTCAACAAGGATTCTCAGCTTGGGTTTCACAGCAGCCGAAGAGATAAGAGTAAGTGTCTGTGCTCCTCTGAGCCCTGTCCACGGGGTTCTGCTTTGTTCCTGGGACAAATAGAAAATGGTCAGTGTGGACGAGAAGGGCGGGCTTCGGGGAGGGTGGGAGCCCCACGGCCTGAAGAGAGGACTTCCATCCGCCTCCAAGTGCCGTTTACACATCGTGTCTATAGTGGCTGCAGCCTGGCTCCTTAGTGCTGACAGGTGAAAGGCTCAGCCCTGCCCCTGCGCTTAATCATTGTGGACCCTGTCAGGGCCATGGGGAAAGAGCACTGGCCTTGGAGTTAGGAGCCCCGGGTTAGAATCCTGGCTCCGTGCTGGCTGGCTGGAGGGCTGCGGAAAACATGGAACTCTGCCTCCCAATTAGGGTGTTTTCCCAGGCCGTCCAGGCCTCATTCCCCCTCCTGGCTTCCCTCAGGTCCCAGCCAACATCCACCTCCTCCCAGGAAGCCTTTCCTGACCCCTGATGGTTCTAGGGCCTTCCCTCTGCTGGTTCTCCCCAGTGTCTGCCTTCTGTGGCTTGTCTGGACGTCGGTGTTTACATGCCCTCCCTCCCGTTAGCCTGGGAGCTCCTTGACTGGCTTTCGTCTCTCTTTGTATCCCAAGCATTTAGCTCAGTGCCTGGCACATAGTAGGCACTTAATAAATGTTTATCTGGACTTTGAGTCAGGAGAGACCTGAGGTCAAATCCCACCATAGAGAAGTCTCTTTAACTTTTCTGACACTGTTGCTTATCTGTAAAATGGGACTATGCTTGTAGCACCTTCCCCAAAGGTTTGGTCATGAGGCTCCCGTGAGATGGAACTCTGTGAAAAGCGCTGTGTGGGTGGCGGCTGTCCCCGCGGTACTGGCCCTTCAGATCTCTCAGGGCTGTCATGAGGGGATTGTCGTGCGTGTTAGGATGTGACCAGTGGCTGCTTTTCTTTGATCGTTGTCAAGGATTACCGGCCTGGAGCTGGAAGGGACCTCGGGGGCTGTTGAATCCCACCCTCTCATTTTACAGATGAGTAAACTGAGGCCCAGAGAAGATTAACTGACTTGTCCTAGGTCCCCCAACCAGGTGGGCTGTGCCCGGGGTAGGATTCAAAGCCAGGTCCTCTGATCGCAGGCCCACGATCTGAGCGGTCTTTGTGATCCTTTCGGCTGAGGAACCATTTTGTTTATTTACTTAAGTCATCGCAGGGCTGCCTTGGCTTATGTCCAGGTGGCAAGCAGAAAGGTATTTTCATTTTATAAGGCTGGGGGGATCAGTCTCTGTGCTGACATTCAGCACCGTCATGTTAGAAAACAGCTGCAGAAGGTGATCATTTTTTAATTTAAGTTGGACATAAGAGGGCAGCAGTGGCCTAATCAGGTCCCTGCTTTGTTGGATGGCAGAGAGCACACGACAGCGGTCAGCACCCCTGGTTCTAGTCTCAGGGCCTGTCCCCTCCCTGGGCCTCAGTTTCCTCCTACATAAAATAAGGGGATTGGTCCAGTTGGTATCCGAGCTCCTTCCAGCATTAACATTGATCTCATGTGTAGGAGACGTGAGTGGGTGTTGGAGTGGTCGGACACCTTTGATTATTTGTTCCAGATGTTGCGGGGTATGAGAGGAGGTGGGTGGGGGTGGGGGGCGGTGAGAGCATGTACTCTTCGTGTCTTGAGGGAATGAGATTTTTGGTTGTTGCCTGGCTCAGGCGCAGTCACAAGCCTTTGCTGGCTGGGTGTTGCAGGCAGGGGATATGAGTATGTCTTGGAGCCGTCGCCAGTGCCCTTGCCTCTGGACAGACCGCAGGAGACCCGGGTTCTGCAGGTGGCCTGTGGAAGAGCCCACTCCCTGATCCTGACTGACAACGAAGGAGGTGAGCTTGTTTGGGGCCGAGCTGGGCCCAGAGAACACTTTTTGTGCCTGTGTGCTGCCCGCCGTCCCGCCCGGAGTGGTGCCTTTGGCCGCCCTAAATCAAGAGCATGCGGTCGTGGCAGTGGGAAGGACAGCTCAGTGGGCAGGTGCTGATGCTCCCAGGCTTTTCTTGGCCTCAGCCTCGTGTAGACGCAGAAGCGGCGGCCTGGGCTGTAGTCTGAGAGGCTTCTGAACCAGCCTGTTGACTGACCAGTCCCACAGCCTGAGGGCTTCAGGTCCGATCCCCAAGTGCGGCTCGTGTCTGTAGAGGGAGCCCTGCTTCCAAATGCTTTTCTCAAGTGGGCTTCTCTTGAACCTGGAAACTGGTCTTTGTCCAGCCTTTGATAGGTACAGTCTTTCCCTCCAGGTTGAGGATCGCTTCTGGCTTGCCTTCAACTCAAGCCCAAATGTCCTCTGTGGACATTAGAGGCAGCTAGGTGGTGCCACAGTGCACAGAGCGCAGGCCTGGAGTCAGGGAGACTTGAGTTCTAATTTGGCCTCAGATACTTACTAGCAGTGTGACCTTGGACAAGTCACTTCACCCTGTTGGCCTCAGTTTCCTCATCTATAAAATGGGGGGAATAACAGCACCTATTTCGCATGGTTGTTGTGAGGATCAAATGAGATAATGTTTGTGAAAAGGCCTTAGCGTGGGGCCTGGCACATAGTAGGGGCTGTGTAAGTGCTTATTCCCCTCCCTCCTCTCCCCCCATGTAGGGAGCCTCCATCAGAATCAGGGTTTCCTCCTATACCCTGCTCAGGTTCTCTTTCTCCTGCTGTGCTTTGGAAACGTGAGGTGCTTCTGGTTGGGAGAGGGGTGCAGCCCTTCCCCTGGCTCCAGGAACCAAGAGCTAGAACATTTACATAGCACCTACTGTGTGCCAGGCACTGTGCTAACCTAGTGCTTTGATTGATTTGACGGTGGTTTTCTAGTCCTCAGCATGGGCAACAATTCCTACGGGCAGTGTGGAAGAGCCGTGGTTGCAGACGAGGTTTACAGGTGAGTCCTTGGGGACCCCTGTCCTGAGGTCAGGGCACTGTGCCGCTGGTGCCATGGCTGGCTGGCATGTCCGGAGCCCGGCTGCACGGCCAGGGCACCAGAGGCACAGGGATGAAGCAGACCCAGGCCCTGCATTTGAGGAGACAGTGTCACTGAGCAAATAAAAGTTACCCTCAGATCATTCCATCATACCAGATTAGAGGGTAGATGAGGAGTCACTCTATGGTCTAGAAAGCTTTTGTTGGCATTTTTAAGGGTTTCCTCAGAAATGAGTGATACTTCCTTGTCTGGTTCCCTGGTGTGCACACCGGGATAGAGGCTGTCCTTCCTTTGAAATCAGCAGCTGCTCAGAGGCGCGCTGGTGTCAGAGCTCGGTGTTCTGGCAGAAGGCATCATAGGGGTCGGCAGCAAAAATCCAACCACTTGTCCTGCCTCTGAAACACCCTGTGTGATCCCAAGCAAGGGACTTGAGCTGTCCATGCCCAGGCAGCTCTCTGAGAGCAGGTGCTGTTCTGCATTTGTGGATGGACCCTTCTCTGGGCACTCCCTAGCCTGATGAAATCCCAGTCTAGGGAGGTTTGAGCTGTTTCTCTGAATGTGGATCTGAATCAGCTTAGGGAGGGTGGCGGGTACAGGGGAGGGCAGGAAGGTGACCGTGTGGGGTGGCTGCTCACCCCAGCATCTCTCTCCTTTGCTCTGGCCTGCAGCGAGAGTCACAAAGTGCACAGAATGCAGGACTTCGATGGACGTGTGGTGCAGGTAGGACCGTGAGCTCCTTGGCTCCTTCTGTGTGTTTCCATGTTGGGTTTTGAGGGAGGGGAAGCTGGAATGTGAAGGATTGGTCCCCACAGTGCTGCTCTGGAATCCTTTGGACAGACCTCATTTGGTGGAGTGCCTGGCCTCCTTGACACCCATAGTGAGCAGAAAGGAGCAGGGCCTTGGGGGGATGGTGAGGGGATGGGGGATCATCCTGTCTGAGATTGGTTACAATAATGTGCTGTGGCAAGGAGAGGCTTCATGTAGCCACGAGGACTGTTGAGGAGGATTTGGGAGGCTGTCATTTGTCCTGCCAGGCCCGAGGGGCTCGTTGGGGCTTTGAACCCTGTGTTCAGTTGAGGGTGTCCCCTAGTGTGAGGGCAGGAGTTAGGAAGGAGGGAAATATTCTGAGCCAGGTATGAATTCATCGAGGAAGCAAGAGGAATGACAAGATGTGGATTGTGTGGGCCTCCAAGGAGGAGAGGTCACTGGTGATGGAGGGAGGGGAGGACCTGGGAGTGTCCAAGGGGAGTCCAGAGCCTCCGGCTCTCCCACCTTGGCTCCCAAGCCGGGGAAGAATGAGAAGCCTGCCCACGGGACTTCCTCCATCCACCTCTCTGTCTGCCAGCCGCCAGAGCGGGGTGCTTCGGGGGCTCCCCGTGGCCTCTCCAGGACCTCCCAATCCTTTCCAGACTCATTTCACTTTGCTCCCCATCTGCGTTCCATGTTCCGGCCAGACCGGCCTGCTTCCTGTTCCCAATGCACAGTGTGTTGTCTCCGGCCTCCCCGCCTTTGCCTGCAGTGTCCTTCCTCCTCCTCTCTACCTTTTCGGACTCCTTGCCTGAGGCCTTTCCGGATTCCCCCAACGTTTCGTGTTCCCACCCCCCTCTCCAAAGTTACTTTGTCCGTGTGTGGCTTGACTTACCCCGTCTGTGTTGTTTCTCCCAGTCGAAGGTAAGCTCTTTGAAGGACGGAGGGTTTCCTTCTTGCCTTCGTGCCCCTGTGATCTAGCCTGGCTCCTTCCGCACAGGTCAGCGCCTGTTGGATCAGATCGGATCGAGCTGAGCTTTCGCTGCTTGTTGGCCGTGCGATGCCGGGGGTTCCTGCCCTGCCAGGGGCTGGACTCGGGCCCTGGAGGGGACTTTTCCAGCCCTGAGGTCCCATGATCAGGCGGCTTGTGCCCTCTGGGGATCACCGCGTGTCCACATTGATCCTCTGTTTCTACCTCTCCTTGCAGGTCGTCTGTGGCCAAGACCACAGCCTGTTCCTAACGGATAAAGGCGAGGTCTACTCGTGTGGATGGGGCGCAGATGGGCAGACAGGTAGTGTGTGGTCAGTCTCCTCTGCTGGGGAGGTGGGACGGCTTGTCCCCTGAGCGGTGGGATGGCTAGGGGTCTGTGCGTTAGGGAGTTACCTGTTCATGGCCCTTACTTTAGGCCCCACCTCTCCTAAGAGGTGCTTCATAATCACTGTTCCGCCAGACCTCTCGCTTTGATCGTGGAGCTGGCCCGAGGGCCCTGGCTGGAACTAGCTAGCCAGCTCCCCAGCCCCCAGTACTGGGACAGAGAGACCTGCCCATAGCGGCAGGTCTAATGAATCGAGGTAGAGTTGGATTTTTTCCCAAGAGGCCCGTAAGACCTAAAGAGAGAGTGGATTTTTATGTTGAGTTGGG